CCGCAGTCGCCTCCAAGATCTCTCGCACCTCCCTTCGCTCCGGAACGCTCCCCGCACCTGCCATGGCTCCCATGAAGGCGATGAAGGCGATGAAGGCCTTTTGGGGCGCAGGGATGCTTTGGGCTCTTCGGGACATGTTCTGAAACGTGCTGTCAGATCTTTCGTTTGCATTGGCAGAATCTGGCCTTGTTTGTGTCCGCGTGCTTGGCTTGTTTGCTCTTTGCGCAGATGCTGGTCCAAGATGGGGCACATCAGGTGATTGTCAGACCAAGCGCCACTCACTTCACCGTAGGCTCTAGACCCTATGACTCCAAAGACCCATAAGCGTGCCCTGCAGACGCTGGTCTCTCCACTTCATGGCCCTCCATGGGTTCCGGACTGCTGGGTTTTCGAGTTGATTCCGGCAGGCAAGTCTTTGAGGTTGCATCTGAGGGAGGCAGGGGGCTGTTCGTGGTTTCGAATTTCGGTGAGTTCGTTAAGTGAGGAGAACGCACTTTGGGGCTGTCATGCTAACGGCGCTAAGAGCACGGCTTCTACAAGTGAGTTGCCTGTCCGAAACTTCCAAGCCGAAGTGTTGCTTTGACATGAGCAGATCCTGGTCGTGGTGGGTTCGAGGCAGATCTCTCGAGGAAAGCCGCAAAACAAGTGATTACGTTTCAATCTCCACCAAACTCCCACCCCCCAAGTACTCACTGCCCGACACATTGTCGCATGCTGGCGGCTCAAGCCATTTAGGGACTCTGGGCATACTGTGTGGCTGCCTGCTGGAGGCTTTTCTAGGCATCATGCCCGAGACGATGGAGATAAGCGATGCTGCGAAGTCTGGTGACGGAACCACGATGAACGTGGGCATCAAGATGACGGGCACCTTCCAATGCCCAGAATGCCGACAGAAGTTCGATTCCGAGAAGGCGAAGCAGCTGCACTGGAAGTTCATCCATGATCCAAACAGGCATCAGGAGGACTGAGCCGACGAAGATGGCTGAAGAGCTCCGACAGACTTTTTGAAGCTGTCGAAGGTTTGGCTTCTCGTCCCTCTTTTTAAGCATGCGTACCGTTCTCAGGGTATGGCTCCGGGCTCTTGCGTAAAAGTGCCCAAGGATCATCCATTGATTCCCGGTCGCTTCTTGTGGTGCCGACGTCCAGGCGAGCTCTCTTGGAGCTCGTGAAGAAGCGAGTGTCAAAAGATCGCTGTGCATTTGCTGCCGTTGTCCAACTTGTCCCCAGAGCAGGGAGAAAGCCCATGAACAGAACGCCGACACAGGACCAAGCTCCTCAAGCATATCTGGAATCAGAGTCTAGAAAGCTAGGCCCTTTACTTGGTGCTCCCTACTCATTGCTGCTCTACCCTCCTAATTTTGCACTACCTACCATGTTTTTTTTGTTCTACCCCTGATTTTTTGCTCGCGGTTTCCAGTGCACGGTGCGCAGGAGGTTCCGAGCCAAGAAGAGCCTTTCGTCTTCATCTGGGATGCCGCTGACTTGCACTTTGATTCTGCCGTCGACGCGGAAAAGGGCTTGATAGGATAGGCTTTAGGCTTCGGGACCATGTTAGGGCTTAAGGTCCCGAGTTTAGGGTTTCGGGACAGGGATTCAGGCGGTCCCAGGAAGAGGAGTCAGTGAGATCATGCCTCGCAGAGGCTCACTGGCCGTCCTAATCGGCGACAGCGTGTCTCCGTATGTCTCCGGCGCTAAAGTCCATCCGGCGACAGCCCAGGCCCGGATCAGGGAGCCTGGCCGCTAGTTAGTGGAGCCATGCAGCAGATCATAGGAAATGCGTGAAGAGTCATTAGAGTTTATGCTTGTCATTGTGGCTTCGCCACAGCTTCTGGAGGAGTTGCCAAGACAGAGACTCCAGACAAGCAGCCATGTAGCCGTGCAACGCAGGGTGACGTACCCTCTCGAGCATCGCTGTGTCGTTTTGACATCCGGAAGGCCAACAAGTGCAGCCGTGTCCTTAGCATGCATGGAGGCAATTCTGAATTCAGCTTCACCGTCTCAATAAAGGAATATACCTTTCGTTGTGAGCATGTTCCAGGACTTTCATAACGGCCCTTGGAAGCATCGCCGGTATGTAGTAGATCAGTATCCGATGAAGCATCACCGTCGGCGCGTTCGTGAACTCGCCAAGGCATTTCAGCATAAACTGTTGGTTTGCGAGTTTGTCTCTTCCGCTCCCCTGTCAGGTTCGCCAGCTCGGCCGGTGACCGTCCCGATAAAGGCTCGTCTTTGGTGGCGGAGCGTTTGAACACCGCGCACCTGCATTCGAACAGGCGTGCGCGAGTCGATGTGCTCGGAGCACTCGTCGCTCGTGGCTCCTATGCCTATGACAGTGAGCAGGCCTTGGTGTCTATATGGCCACAGTGCCACCAACATAGCCACTATAGATCACTACCTCCAAAGTTTCTGCAAGCTGCACGGGAGAAGGAACTGAAGAGCATTCACCCTTTTCTCACCCACTTACGCAGGAAGATGGACCAGCTGGAAAAGCTGTTGAAGGAACTTGGCCTGTCCGAGCCCCGGGCCGGGTATGTTGAACTTTTATACTTTTCAATAGCTTTTACATGGAGGGTTTTGCGGACAGGTGGCTCATGCACAAAGGCTGCAAGGTGACAAACGCAGGAAGCCAAGTGAACACCTGAACAAGCTGCCGTTTGCTGTCTCGTTGCTGACATCCAGCAGAACGAGTTGCTCATCTGGTAGCCATCGCTGAAGTTGCGCATGATAGTATTTATAGTATGATAGTAGTATAGTAGTATAGTGTTCTGGTATTATGGTATTATGGTAGTATAGTATTACGTTATTGTAGTATTGTAGTATTCTAGTAATATAGTAGTATAGAAATATAGGGCAGTGACGGTCCATTGGATGCGATGAGGGTTTAGCTGAAGGGTTTCAGCCAAACTCTTTTGGGCGTCGCGCAGGGACTGCTTTTGACCCCCAGCAATTGGCCCCAGGGTTTCCTGTTGCAACGAGTATTGAGAGGTGATGAAAAGTCGCTCCGTGAGGTTTTTTTCGGGACATGTTCGACTTAGTGGTTGCTACAGTTAGCAACGTAATGCTGACATGGAGGCACAGAAGCAGCCGCAGCTGCGTCCCAGGCGATGAAGGCGATGAGGTGAGCAGTTTCGGCCCGCGCATGCGNNATGCATGCCGGCGAGTTTCGACTTGTGGCCAGACAGCGTCGCAGAGCAACATAACGCAGGGCGTTGTGTTGCTGTGCGATGCTGTCTAAGGTATCGTAGCAATTCAGGAAATTCTGCACTGAATTGCGAGGCAAGCACTCTTTCTCGTATCAGAGGAAGGCGCCCAGGAACAGGTACAGCTTAGACAGGGCATTTGATTTGGCCCAGTCTGCGGCCCTAGGGCCTAGCTCCAAACTGCCGGAGGGCCTCCGCCTGTACAGGGAAAAGAGCGCTCTTTCTGGGTCATGCGACGTATGTGGGTTTTCAGTGCGTGTGCGTCTCGAGGTAACATCCGCATGGATGTAGCGATATGTAGCGGTTGTCTCAAGGAATGTATGCCAATTTAGTTAAATGGGGTTGTGGAACGCGTGTCGTGTTTTGTAGAATCGCAGCATCCTCAGTATCGACCTGCCAGTGAGTGTGTCCCCTAAGCCGTAGCCTGACATGTTGATGGCAGCAATGTCTCATTCCTTCTGAGATTGAGATGCTGACCATGGCTGATTCAGTGCTGCAGCACGTCGCGCCCAGAATGGTGTTGGCTTGAATCTGTGCCCAGCAATGCTTATTGGATCTGGTTGTTTGAGTATTCTCGGTCAGTCACAACGTCAACTGCGCTTGATTTCGACAGTCGAGCTTCGACGAAATCGTTTGGCCAGCGAGAAGCTCACGCGATTCAATCGCATGTTGGGAGTGTGCTCTGCTGCGGGAGACTTCCATGGCGCGGAGCGCATCCTGCAACGTGCAGTGAAAAGCGAAGTTGCGCCGGACACGTTGTCCTTTGCGCTGGTCGTGGCAGCGAGCGCGGAGGCACGTGATGTCGTTCGGGCCGAGATGTGGTTGAGAAGGCTTTGCTTGACAGGACATGCCGCGGCCGCATGCCACCCTGAGGTCATAAGTAGCTTAATGGATGCTGGTGCCTCTGAGCTGGCTCGGGTCGCTGCACAGCAGGAGGGATCGAAGGACGACGGCGACGACACGACAGAACAAGCAGCGGAGACTCGACTTTCATCGCTGCTACATGTGCTTCGGAAGCAAAGTGATCTGAGTGAGCGGGAAATGGCAGCCATCAGGAGACTCTGGGAAGAGGTCCTCGAACAGCACCGATCAGATGGGCTGGTCCCTTCTCGACGGACGCTTCGTGCAATGCTCCAGGTCTTGTCAAGATGCAGCCGTCACTATGAAATTGGAACACTGCTAAAGGAGATGTCGTCGGTTGGCTTTCGCGCAGACTCCGAAACCTTCGGCGCCCTCATCGATGGTGCATCCGAGCGAAAAGACGTGGCACAGGCAGAGGCCTTCTTCAAGCAAGCGCGCGAGAATGGCATTGAGCCCACATTGCCAATGCTAAACAGCCTCATCAAGGGTTGTGCCGCAGCGGCAGATGTGGCAAGTGCCAAAAAGTGGTATCATCGAATCTATTCGGAAGGCCTAACCCCAAGCATTCTGTCTTTCAACAGCTTTCTTGGTGCTTGTGGGACAGCTGGCTACGAACAAGAAGCAGAATCGGTGTTGCAGGACATGCTGACGGCGCAGCTCCGTCCGGACGGCTTCAGTTACTTGGCTCTCATTAAAGCGCATGGGCACAAGAGCGCCAAGGAAGCAGAGCGCTGGTTTTCCGTTGCCCTCTCCGCACGCGTCAATGTGGACACCGGTATGTTCAATGCAGTCTCCTTGGCGATGAGTAGGCAGCCTTTCAAATTTGCATTTCTTTGCTAGACTGCTAGAGTCTCTGAAGAAAAAAACCGCCAGTGTAACTTGTTCTCCGATGAGAAATTCAGCCGGTAAGGTCTTGCGTGCTTATGTCGTGCACTCAGACCCGTGGGAAGTGAAGCGTCTCTATGCAGACATGCAGAGACGCCGCGTGCCGGCCAATGCAGCCACGTTCTTGTCCGTGGCACACGCATACGCTGTGGAAGGTGTGAGTTTCGAAACTGAGGGGAGCCCCAATACAATCCGGCATCCCATGTGTGATTCCTGAAATGATACATGTGGTATTGAGCTCCAAACCCGAGAGACAAAAGAAAGAGATAATTTCTCTGCACTTCTGCAGGCGAGGTGTCCAAGGCCGAAGACCTTATCTACGCTTCTCAGGAGGCCGGCTACAAGCTGGGTAGCGAGGAGTTCTCCTGCCTTCTGCTGGCCTACTCATGGAAGCCACAGTACCGAAGCCACAAGGCCGAGAGACTCTTCCGGGAGATGATCTCGGAAAGAAAGATCCTGCCCACGAGTCGGATGCTTCGGTACTTGCGGCTGGCCATGGGGGAGGCACCGGCTGAGGCCCTAATCGAGGAGCTGGGTGTCTCCGTCTCAGAGGCGGAGTCGTCGAGAGCGTGAGCGACGCAGTGGCGTACTTCAACGGTGATGTGAGACGGTGGCTCTGGCGCTCGAGCCTCCGAGCTCCTCCTGCAACGACCGACGCCTTCGTGGAAATGTGATCGAGGCCAGAGAGATTCCAGATCGTGGTGGGTTCTCCGCTGCTGGGCGGCCCATGTTGCCATCCTGAGACGGGAAGAGATAGGCAAGTAGCTGGATGCAGCAGACTGCAAAAGCAATGTTCAGGCTCTGGTGCTTTTGAAGTTTCCTCTGCTTGCGCACGAAAGACCCTTTTCATTGTCCTCACGAGCCGCAGCATTTTGTCTCAAGGGTCTTGGTTGGGGGTAAATAGTTTAATCCTCGCAGGAGAAACTTGATTTCATCCCGTGCCGACTATCAGCGCTGGCCTCAGGTGACATCCCTGGCAAAAGGTACCCAGGACCGTCCCCGAACGCTCGCACCCTAAACCCAGGATCCGGACCTGCAAAACCGTAGCTCTCTCGGATCTGAGTTGCCCCCAGACTCCACGTCACCCCAGGCCCCCGGGCCCTGGCAGTCCCGAACCGGAGACCCGACACGGGCGAACTTGGGAGCTCCTTCGCCGACTGAGGGCAGCCGCACAACATGGCGCCCATGGGTTCGGGGCCCTACTGTAGTAGAGAACCGGTGCGACACCGTATTATGCTATGTCAGATAATATCGTATGCCATGTTGTGTTGTGTTGATAATGTTAATGCTAATGTTATGTTCTGATATGCTACAGTTTATTTTATGTTATGTTATTTTGTTCTGTCATGTCATGTTATGTTGTTTCATGTTGTGTCATGTTGTGTTATGTCATGCTTTATTTGTCTATTAATGTTAGGTTCTGTTATGCTATGCCATGCTGAGTTATGTTATGTTATGACATGATGTGTTATGTCGCTTCATCTTTTTTCGTTTTGCTTTTAATGTTCTGTTCTGTTATGTTATGTTATGTTATGTTATGTTATGCTATGCTATGTTATGTTATGTTATGCTA